CGCCAGGAAAGAGGCCGGCGTGCAGGGGGCTGGCGGGGCAGGCGGCCCCCGGGGGCAGCACCAAGGGCGAGTTCAGGTGCTGGAAGACGTGCTGCTCCAGGAGGACGGGCAGCGGGACAGGGCCCTGGGTGGTCATGACATAGGGGGTGGCAGCATTGGTGGCCGGCATCTGCGGGGCGGCGCTGCCGGCGACCTGCAGGTGGATGGGCAGGACAACGGGGCTGTCCCCCAGGCAGATGGGCTGCAGCACGGTGGCCGCCACCTTCAGGGCTACCCCGCTCTGTGACTCGGCCGGCGGTGTCAGGATGGAGGGCGCAGGGACGGTCACCAGTGGGGACAGGGCCTTCTTCATCAGGTCGGCTGAGTTGATGTTCCAGGCCTCTGCCGTGATCAGCTGGGCCACCCCATTCTCCAGCTTGTTGTTGGCCATCGCCGAGGGCGAGCTGGTGACGTCCATGGGCAGGTTTGGGGCGTCCTTGTACAGCTCCTCCATGTCGCAGGGCTTCTTGGGCTCTGCCAGCGCCGCCTCTACATCGCCGTCAGTGGGACCCGTGGCGGCTCCGGGCTGCCAGGAGCATCGGCACAGACATAATTTGGCCTGCAAACCAGAAACATATTTTAGGCACCGCATAAATCTCCTCCTTAAAATAATATTTGCAATTGCCTTTAAAGACCCCATCACCAAAGAAAAGCCGTTAAATGTTTCCACGCTTCAGGCTAACGGCTCCATAATACAGTGTAGTACATATACAGAGATGCTGGATATACATACATACGTGAGTGTTGTACGAAGAGTTTTGAGGAACTTATATTTAGCCATAAACACAGACAATTTAAAAGACCTTGAGGGCTGCCTGCAGCCAAAACCCACCCCCTAGTACACAGCCTGAAACAAGGACTCGGGCCATCCGTTTCACGTTTTGAAACAAAGCTTCACATAATGACAGAGCCGAGCAACAGCGCGCTGTTTTAACTCAACAAAAGCCCCAAAAACAAACATTTCTAAAAATATCGTGGCTAAGAAATGTTCCACCATGGGCGAAGGGTCCTCGCTTCCCTAAAATACTCATCCCTTTTTCATCCCAGTGGGATTTACTAAAGGCAAGCAGGTGAGTGCCGCATGCTGCGTACAGCACCTTCAAAACTGCCGTGTGCAGGGTGAGAAAGAAGCAAACCCAAACCAAACGCCGACGTTTGCCCTGCCACAGAGCTAGACAGAGACAGTCCTGTGAACCAGGCACCTGAGTCATAAAAGACACGAAGAATAAAAAAAAAAATCAAAGCAACTTCAAATTTATTTTGACAGCACAACCCTTTATATTAACCAAGCAAATGGCAATTAAAAAAGGGCAGAGATGGTTTCCATTCATGATTGTGGTGAAATTTGCAGCCTATTTCCTAAAAAGACTAACACCCCCTTCCCCTGAAAAAAAAAGCAGCAAACTAACGGTGCTGCACATCCATTTATTCAGAAGGATAAATAATTTCCGCCCCACGAGCTGCCGCCGGCAGACTTTGGCTGGGGGCTGGCCGCTCCGCCTAGCGCTGCCCGTGCCTCTCCCGAAGTGCGCGGTGCATCCTGCCGTAGTAATAATCACCATGGAAACTTGTCCAGTTTCAACTCTGTTACCATGGGAAAGCACTGGCGCACCCCAAATTTACATTTTTCACCTGCACGCGGCTGAATCCCGCTCCCTACGAATGAAACGTGTGCCATCGCCACCGCCCGGCTGGCCGGGCTGGTAGGAGCGAGGCGCTTCCCTGCATCCCGCAGGCACACTGGCGTTGGGATGATAGGGAGGGCAGCGCCACTCCAAAATTGGATGCGTGAGGAGTCCCAGCCTGGGGATGCGTCTGTGTCTGAGAGCACACGAAGAGCTCCGCCGGCTCTGGCACTTACAGAAATGATTTGCTCGCATAGATCTTTGTAGGACTGACAAACTTGCAAACTAAGAGGGGACAGGGAAAAGGGGGGAAAAAAGCAAACCCCATGAACAAAGGCTAAAAAATGGCCAAGGCAGGGAAGCGGGAAATCTCCCAAGTTTCTCCTGAGACCTGTAAATCCTTGGATTTGGCAGTGAGATGCCATGGCGAGCGCAAGACTACAGAAATGTGGGGAGTTAATAGTGGAGGCTGGTTGGGTAAAATGCTAATAATTTATCAGGCGCGTTTGAGTTCTTAAAAAGGATTTTTAAAAGTAAACAGATGAGTCATTTCTTTTCCCCTCCTGCTGCTGGCTTAAGGAGAATAATTCCGGATTTTTCTCATCTCATGAAATGTTCTGCAGAAAACATTCACAAATACAGGGTTGAGGGGTTTTTTGTTTCCTTTTCCAGCCTTGGCTGAGACAGATTACAGGCAGGCAGAGATGCCCAAGCACTGAAAAACAGGAGCAAAAATCAAATCCCTTATTCAGAAAGTGACAAGTATCAGTACCAAAAAAATTGGGCCAGTCTTGTTTTGGGGAGGGGGGGGGGAAAGAAGAGCAATTCTTTCTAAAAATAGAGACAACCAGGAGACCGCTCAGCAGATTCAAGCTGGAAAAAAACAGACGTCGTCATTTCTGTTAAGGAATTAAAAAGCCATTTTCTACTGCTCTTATATAATCTCTCCCGCCCTCTTTTTAAAATGACCATTTTAAAACCCTGTGGTCTCTGCAGCGTACACCAGCATCTTTGCTCCTCCAGCTGCTGCAGCACAGCCGACTATTTTACACATGACACTGGCTCTTCCCGATGTTTCTGTTTGCTTGAGAAGCGTGAGATTGTGGTGTTTTCATAGGGAATTGATGTTTCTGTTTGCTTGAGAAGCGTGAGATCGTGGTGTTTTCATAGGGAATTAATGACCTGGCGGGGACGGGAAATGACCCCCTGTTCCCCTGGCAAGCCCATTTAACGTTGAGAAATAGAAAAATTAAGATAAAAATTATGCTGTGTAAGAGACTTGAGGGATTAGCATGCTGTGCGGAGCCACGGAGAGAGAGACAGATCACCGCCAAAGATGAAAGTATAAAACATAATAAAATCCCCCCATTGATGCTTTAAAAAGCGACAGGGCTGGAGGCAGAGGAAATATCTAGATGAGGGGAAGAAGAGCTCATCTATCACCATCAGACACCTTGAAGAAATGCCTGTTGGGGTTGATTGGTGTGGGTTTTTTTAAAGCATAGTCAAATATTGTTTTCCACACTGAATCCTATATGTTTCTGGGATCTATAAATACATATTGTTGAGCTCGCGGTCCTACGCTGCCTCTGGGAGGGCCCCACCATGTGAGGGGAAGGAGAAGGAGAGAAAGGTGAGGTGCAGTCCTTTGCCCAGGTTTATGGGCTTGGGGGGGCTTTCCCCCCCCCCTCACCTTTCCTATGTGGAAGCGTGCCTTTCTGTACTTCCAGTGCACCTGCTTCTTGAGCACGTGATAGCTACAGAAAAAAACCCCACCATCTATCTATCTATCTATCTATATATATATACACTTAAAAATATTTCATGATCCTGCCCGCAGCCTGCAGCTTGGCAGTAGCTGGCTGCCAGGTACAGCGGAGTCCCAGCGCAACTGCCCCCTGCACCCTTGTAAAGCAATTCTTGGTTTCACCTGGGAGGCAATCCCAGGGCTGCTAAACATGTATTACACCAAACACCTATTATCAAGGTCAGTAAGCAGACAGAGTGAAAAGGATCCAAGTCCCCAAGCCTCAAAAGAGGAAACGTTTGAAGATCTGGGATCAAGAGACAGTTTGAAGTTGTCCAAAGAGGTGTTTTGTACTTCCTGGACTCCTTTTTTATACTACGTACACCAAATACATGGTACAAAACCGTAAGTCAACATGCAGACGACCTCAACTGAAGTAAATTTTCAATGTTGTTGTTAACAGTGATAGCTATACTATACTTCTCCTTTAATAAAAATCAACCTGAAGTATGTGCTGGGTTTGAGCTTTTTTGTTGTTTTTTTTTAAGATTGCTGCTTCACTGCACATAAAGTATTCAGAGTCACCCAGTTTTTAAAACAAGTTTCATGTACCTAATATACACAAATGAAGGTAGTATAATTCAGTGAAATTGCCTTAAGTTTCCTCTGTCTACCACACCTGAGTGCCGGAAAATCAATTAATTTCACTTTCCCTACTTATCTATTTAATATTTAATTTGCTGTTTGTTTTAATTGAAAAGAAGCTTGCAACACTGAAAAGAGCCCTATTGTAAATAACCGGGGCTTTCCCACCGGGGTGCTGATAAGAGTTAAGTTCATGGCACTATGCAATGATGTGTGCAACTGTACAGGAAATGGTATGTTAGCTATACAAAAATGCCATGAAAGGGGTGGTGATAACGCTAGCTTTTTTTTTTTTTATCTCCTACTGATGGCTGTGCAACAGACTTTTCTCAGGGCTGTTGCGTGCCTTCCTGTGGGACAGCAGCACTGCACTGTGCGCAGCTATCCCCGCGCTCCGCTTGCTCATCCGTACTGTGGCTTGTACCTCGCTATCAACACAGAATTCAAATTATACTGTGCACACTATGGAAAAGGTCTCAGATGCTCCCTTTGTAGGATGCCCTGCTCAGCATCTCCTGGAGAAATTGGGTTTCCTTCCAGTATAAACACAGTATCAAAACCAAAACAAAATTAGAAATCTTGACTTAATGGAACAACTTGGGGACAAAATTATGGACGGATTTGGGCTTCAGTGTTTTGCCAAAACTCGCTGCTTGCTGTCACTGATCCTCCTGCCAGAAGCAACATGTTTGATTTTTGCTCTGCAGAAGCCCATTAACAAGGGCCGTGGTGAGAGTATCTCTGACGGGGACACCTCACCGCCCTTCGGGAAGACGGCAGACCTGCCGAGCACCCCCGGCGGCACGCACCTGACCAGAGTGCCACGCCAGGTCCTGCACGCCCTGGTCCCCATTGGGCTGATCCTGCCACCTCATGGCAGCACACCCCGTCGCCCTCGATGCACCACAAAACCACGCACCCATCCTGCGCCCTACTGAGATGTGGGTTTCTTAAGGAGCTCAGGGTTGGGCATGCCTGTCCTCAGCAGTCTCAGCGGCCGAAGCCCGACCCAGCTTTCTGCATCCTTCTGCAGTAAATACACAAATGGGCAACGAGGACACGTACTGACATAGACCAACAAACAATAAATCATCTTCCATCCTGCAGTTTTTGCTTTGTATAGTTTGAGCCATACACAAATAAAGGCTTTACTGTATTGTTATTGGTGTCTTGTTGCTAGAATAGAAAAAATGTATTTGAATAAAGTGAGCTTTCATATACCAAATACATGGAGCTATTAATACACAAATAATGTCCAGGTTGGTTCTCCCATACATGCAAACCACAGGTGATTTCAGCAGTGTTTGCCTCTCACATTTCTCACTGAGTCACGTATTCAGGCACCAGGGATTGACAATCCTGGCCATCCCGCATACCCTTTTAGTAGTGTAATCCTCAAGCAGCAAAGGGCAGAGGAGTAACCAACTTACAGCTAAG